CTGAAGCTCTGGGTTGAAACACAGCACTGTTTCTGTGCCAAAAAAAGAGTCTGACAGCAGTGGGTGTAGCTAATCTTTGTGTTTCTCTGATTTATTCTAAAGCTCAGAAGAATACATTTCCAAGTTTTGATCAGTCTGTTGTAATTTCTAAACGCAAACCATTGTAATGCAATTAAAATGAAAATGCTTTACAAGGGACTAAGATTAATATACTTGATCTTATATATAGTTACTGTAACATGTGTGTGTGTGTGTGTGTGTGTGTGTGTGTGTGTGTGTGTGACATTACTTTGTTTTCTGTCGAATGCACACACTGCCTGTGTATGAAGTAGGGACTACAATTTATAAATGCAATGAGTGCATACAAATTCTTTGTCTAAATATTAATAACACAAATTAATAACAGTCTACACCATTAAATCAAATCAAATCACTTTTATTGTCACATCACATGTGCAAGTACATTTGTACAGTACATGTGAGTGAAATTCTTGTGTGCGAGCTTCACAAGCAACAGAGTTGTGCAAAATACAATAATGTAAACAAGCAAAATAAAAGAATGGCTAAATCTGAAACTAATAAATATATGTACAATATATAATAGTATATGCATTTCTGGATGTGTATACTAAATGTTTTTCTTTGTGTGTGTGTGTGTATACACATATTTTACAAATTAAATAGAGTAAACAATAAAATAAAATATATTTAGACTGTTAACGGATACAACTCTCCTGGATCAATGCTTAACTCTCCCTTGAGTGCCTGAAAATACATTTTAACAGCTTTACCTGACAGTGAAAGTCAGGGTTAGACTGGATATATTGTATGCATTTTGGTGCTTGAGGCATTAACAATAGGGAAACTATACTTCCTTTTTGTAGGATTCACCATTATTATCCTCTGCATGCACACCTGGGACAGGAGTCTGTTCCAGGAAGCATAATCAACGTACTTCAACTACAAAATAATTAACTCCGAATTATCAGCTCCAGAACTGATCAGAGTTTGTTCCGTCCTGTTCACCCTGGGTGAAGCACATGCATGAGTAGAGAAAAAATGACATCATCAGTGAAGCTCACACACACACACACACACACACACAATTCACAATGGCAATCAGACAGAAAGAAACAACAACAACAAAACATTGGACTCATTTCACCCCAATTTAACTGGATGTTCTGCTGTGTGTGTATGGTGAGTATAGTGCCAACTCCAGCTGCCTTAAGGTGCTTTATATTATTAGGCAGATACCCTACACTGATACAGAGAAAGTCCCAATAATCAGATAAACCCCACTATGAGCAAGCATTTTGTGACAGTGGACAGGAATAAAACTCTTTTAACAGGAAGAAACTTCTGGCAGAACCAGTCTCAGGGAGAGGCGGCCATCTGCCACGACCAGTTGGAGATAAGGTGTGGAAAATGGGACAAAAGACATGCTGTGGAAGAGAGCCAGAGGTTATTAACAACTATTAAGGCATGGGTTTAAATGGATAAGACACATTTTTCTACTCTCATTTTGGTTTTCCTTGTTTTGATATATTAAGAAAGACTATATGAAAAAATGGTTTTAGAGTTTTATTTAGCTAACAGAAAGAAGGCAGATGTTTGCAGAAGTTTCTAGTGCCTTCAGCATAGTCTAGTTGCTGAAGGCCTTGCTGGAGTCAGTCACCTCCCAGGACTTTAGTTTCTGTTTAAAATATGATTATTTTCTATGCACATACTGATGACATTCCCTATTGAGCCTTCTGCCTAAACAGAACCCCTTCCTCCCCTTCCATCTGTAAGTAGGCCACTCAGTCCTGAGATTTTACCTACAAAAATCTCACTCTTCAACAGAGGGTAACCACGGTTAAATGCCATGACATGTCATGAAACAAGCACAATTGTGTAAATGCTCATGAAAACCTCAGGGCATTTATTACAGCCTGACAGTTAAACTAGATAAACTAGATATGTATGTTTTAACTTCAAATCTGTAAATCTATATCTGATACACTTTTGTAAGTATTTATTAAGTAAGTAAGTATTTTGTTACTGTTTTAAAGGTGGCTCTTGGGAGTTTGTTGCTGGAGCTGTAGTCCTGTGCTCTCATCATAATTATCCATTTTCATTAGTTTCTTGTGTTCCCCTTGTCTTTGTCTGAGTTTTCCATTCACTTCCAGACTTATTTTAAGGCTTGCTTCCTCATGTAGCCTTCAGTGTTTATGCTTCATAATGCAGCACATTTTTTTGTCAGTTCTATACACGTAGGTTATAAAAACTCTTTGTTTTTCCATGCACTTTTTCCTTTTGTTTTTTTAATTTATTAACTAATTCCTAACCGTTCATTCACACAGTGAAGTTGTTTCTGGCATTTTCTTTTTCTGAGTGGCCTGTTCCCTGCAGTTGGGTATCTGAAAACAACAATTCTGTTCCTAAGGTAAATATTCATCATAATATGTGTTATCACATCTTTGCATTCATATTAGCGGCGTTATTTGACCTTAGTTAAATACTGGTAATAGCTTAAAAGGTTATTTTCATTTTTTTCAAGGTGCTGCTGTTCTACTGGGAAACTTTAATGCTCAAGTGGGCAACGGCAGTGAGACCTGGAGGGACACGATTGGGAATAGCAGCCTCTCCGATCTCAACCCTTTACCTGAACCACAGTTTTTTCCATAACCAACAGCATGTTCAAACATGGCACCAGGACACATAAGGTTGCAGGTTGATGACTGATATTTATAATCATATCATCAGATCTACGTTCTGTACACTTGGGTGAAGAGAGGGACTGAGCTGTCAAGTAAACGACACCTGGAGGTGAGTTGGATCAAGTAGTTGAGGGAGGATGCTGGAAAGACCTGACACACCTAAATAGTGAGGGTGTGCTGGCAACACCGAGCAGAGTTCCCAGTCCACAAGATCCAGCCCAACACCCAACTCCGGCAGAGCTTTGACAGCATTCCGAGGGAGAATGGGGAACTTACGTCTCATTGAGCTGCAGCTGGAAGTTGGTTGGTTGCCACAGATTGTGTTCATAATTTTTATGGACAGAATTCCTCAGTATAGCCACTTTTCACCATGAGGATCTTGACTCTGCTTTTCACAGATGATGTGGTTCTGTTGGCTTCAAAAGGTGGTGGCCTCCAGCTTGCACTGGAGCAGTTCACAGCCGAGTGTGAAGTTGCAGGAATTAGAAGCACCTTGAAATCTGGAGAGGGTGGTCTGGCTGTTCTCCTTAGGCTGCTGCCCCCACGACCCGGCCCTGGAGAAGCGGATGAAAATGGGCGGATGGATGGATGAATCAACTTTCCATTGCTGGATGCCAATTAAGGCCTTGTTTCTTGGAAACAGCTGTGAACAGTTTATAACAGAAAACAATTCTGCAATTGAATTTAAATAACTTATTCACACTTCTGGTCTTATGCTCAATTGGAGTGTGAATCTATGTCTGAGAAAAAATGGGAGGGAAATGTGGGTATGGTTGTGTGAGGAAAAAAAACCCCAACTATATTCAGAATGGAAGATAAAGCCAGACACATGACGTGAAAAAAGAGGAAATGGAGGGTGTGTTAATGTGTCTGGGAGTGTGTATTCACATGTGTGAGAGCCATGACACAAACTATGTAATAGCCAAACTTGAAGTAACAACAGGACAGACAAACAAATACATCCTCACTTCTGCCTCTGACTACTAAGAGTGAAGCTGCTCACTTTAGCTCAATATTTAAGGTAATAAATTTGATTTTTCTTTCTTGGTTAGATCTCTCAGATGATACTTAAATTCTTATTTTTTTTAATTCGTGTTTTTGCATTTTTGTTTTTCCTGCCTGTTTAAATATAATATTAGGTTTTTCTGCTTAATAGAGAGCTTTGGTTATGTATAGTTGATTGAAAATCTTTGGAAAAGAGCTTATGATGAATTAAATTGTTTACATGCAGTTTTTAAAAAAAACGAAATCAAGAAATATTTTGAAACCACATCAGATCTCCCACAATGGGAGAAAATCCAACTCAATATCTATACTGATATCGACTAGGTAATGTGTTAGGAATGAACACATTCATTCAAATGAATGCTACATTATTTGATGGAAATGAAAGTTATTAACCTAAACAAACAGGATGTCTTTGTGAGAATTTAATTTGCCTTTCCAAAGGAAAGTTTTAGGAACCTTAACATGGATAAAGAAATGAAACTAGAATTTCTTCTAAAGCAGCTGACCTGTGGTCTTGTAGGCATCTAAAGTGTAAATAAACATGTGCATCAAAGCATGATCGGGCCAACTGTAATAACAACTTTTTACCAAACTAACAAATACTAAAACCCAGACAGTTTTCCATATATAATGAATTTCTTTGTAGTTAGTGTGCAAAATTTGTTCACCTCGCTCAAATCTTTCATGTTCAACTACATTATGGGTTAAAACTTCAGGGTCAAAATACCCAAAACAGCACATTAAGTTATAGCCTGATACATTTTTTGGCAACAGGCAAAAATATAGTGATAAAGAAAACCACATGTCACCATATGTCCTGACGCCTCAACAGAGTGAAAGTAGTTGTCACTAACCTGTGGAGGAATTGAAAAATCAATTTTTTTCCTAAAAGCAGGGGATAGCTTGTGTTACACATGTGAGTAAAGGCTGGATTTGTCACAGTCTGGCTGAGGCAGACCTGAGAAGGAATGACTGAAAACACACGGACTAAAGACACACAGAAGGCTAATGAGGGAAGTGGGAACACATGGGGAAAACAGCTGACACACATGAACATAACGATGTCACAAGGGGACAGTAAAACTAAAAACACTGAACATAGGAACACAGGACCCCTTCAAAATAAAACAGGAAACATGATGAGACGCAGACATGAGAACATGAACTTGAAGGGCAAGGGAGACTTAACAGGGGTTGAAAACACAAGGGGAAACTAATAAGCAAATGAACTTAGATAACCTAAATAACTTAAACATACCATAAACATCAGAATAAACCAAAACTCCAAAACGCTAGGTCAAACGACCCAGGATCGTGACAGGATTCTATTATGTATCTGCACTGATTAATGAACAAGAACAAGATCAGGCCTCTTTACAGATCAGGGTGACAGTTTAATATGTTATTAGCAGCTTTTAATCTAATATCTTCTGCATAGCAGAAATTAGATTATGGTTAAGTTATATAAACTAGTATATTTAAGCTGTTAGACCTTAGTGAGTTGTTGCCAGAGTCACATGTATTCAAAGATTAAGGTCTAAGGAAATGATCTCATCACAAATTCCACTTGTTACTTGTTTTTAAGCTTTTGACTCTGTAACATGAGCTTTATCAGATGATGAAATTTGCTTAATGTCATAATCTTTTTTCAGACCTGATCCATTTTCATAACATACTTCCTGTTTCTATAAGTTTAACCATTTCACACACACTTTAAAATACAACAAAACCTTCAGCCAACAGTTGGTCAAGAATTACACCCCTATGCATACATATATGCATATATAATTTATACACACTTATATATACTATATTTTGTATGTTTGGATGAATATTTCTTACCACTGCAAAACCTGTTTATTACCCCCATAAGTGGTGCCACATTTGCACATTTGTAAGGATAATGCATTTATGGGTTGAGCAGTAGAGCTGAGTGTGTCGGCTGCGACCATAAAAAACTTGTCAAATCTTTTTTGCCAAACAGCTTATTCTGTCATTGAGTCGTGTTTATTGGATTGGATTATTGAAGTCTAATGAAATAAAACATAATGGAAATGTAACAGCTTATTCATTTAAGAAACAGCAGCCTTAGTAGCATGTGGAAGAACCATACACAGCCAAAACAAGTCAAGTTGTTTTAAAATTGCCTTGTAACCATTTCACAGACTAATCGGCAGCAACAATTGCTTCTCTGAGATCACTGCTGTGTACTGTATGTCCTCCTATGGAAGCAGTAAGACTAACACTCAGTCTCTGACTCACTGCTTCTGTATCTTGGTTTTTGTTAGATAAATAATGATGTCATTTTTTTTGTTCATTTGAGCTGTGCACCCATTTGAAGACCCACTGGTTATTTCTATTGTAACTTGATATATAAAGCAACATGATTTTCTTTACAATGGCTGTAAAAGTAATACATATCTCATTGTGAGCAGCGTGACAAAGACCTAAATAGATGAAGATAGCAGCCAATGTGAATCAAAGCAAATGCCTTAGCTGGCCAAAGAAAAATCATCTAGGGAGTCAGTGAGTATGATAATATACAGCAGCGTGTGAGGTAATCTTATGACTTCCTATTCACTGTCTGGAAGATCAGGAGTTACATGATGAGTAATATTTTGTTCTTTTTCTGTTCTCTCTTTTACAGCCACACAATGTTTTCCAATGTCTCTCTGCCCAATCAGATGCTCAAGTTTTCAAAGGAGAACCAGACAACTATGATGGGCATCAATGCCATAACGGAATATGTCACCATTATCTTATATGCACTGACCGTTGTGCTCGGCATCACAGGGAACTCTATAGTGATCTGGGTGGCTGGATTCAAACTTAAGGTAGATATAAAGTGAAACATGTATTTCAAATACCTTCTGAGGTTTTAAGTATCTCTGTGAAATTCTCATATTTAGTTTGTACAATATTTTATAGGCAAGAGTTTTCGAGACAGCTTCAGTAAATGTGTTTTTTGGGTTTTTTTTTTAATGTTACATATCAGTGCATGAATGCAACCAGTATACTGATTACAAAATACTCAATGGCAGATTTATCATTCACCTCTTAGTGCGTGCCAAAATGCAGAGGTGGCAAAAGAACATACATTCATCACTTAAGTAGAAGTACAGATATTTGAGTTTGTCTGAAAATCTTAATACTTTATTAAAGATAAGAAGCAAAAATATAACATGTGCATAAATATTTACAGCCTTTGAGGTCAGGTGCATCCTGTTTCCACTGATCAGCTGTCAGATTTAAGCCCCAGACTGACAGTGCATGTCAGAGCACAAACCAAGACAGGAAGTCCAGGGAATTATACCCGACCTGAAGTTTCCCCCAAAGTATCTGAAGGAGTCTCAGACCATGAAACACAAAATGATCAGGTTCTATGAAAAGAAAGATTGAACTCACTGGGCTGAATGCCAAGCCTCATGTCTGTATAACCGGGCACTGCTCATCATGATGTACAGAGACATCCTTGCTAATAACCTGCTCAACAGCGACTGGACCTCAGACACAAGTGAAAGGTCATCTTCCAAGAGAACAAGACCCTAAGCATACAGCCAAGATAACTAAGGAGTGGCTTCGATACCACTCTGTGAATGTCCTTGAGTGATTTCTTGATAAATAAACCCACTAACCCTTGGCTTAAATAACTCCAAATAACTCTCTTTTTTCTTCTCTTTTGTTAATGAACCCCTTCTGTCATCGTTTCTAGTCATATCAGCATATAAGGAAATCCAGCTGTTAATAAACTTCTTATATCCATTGATTTGGTGTGATTAAACTTATTTTTGACCAATTAAGACTTAATAAGTTAAAGCACTGATTATGACTGTACAAGTTGAAACACAGTGTGTTGGGTCTCAATGTGCACAGTGTGGCTAAATTTAATAAGTACATCCTCATCAGCCTTTGGCCTTATCAGCCCAATGAGTGATCATTATCAGTCAATATCTGTCTCACCTCTTCCTCCTACTGAGAGCTGGTCACCCTCTCAGAGGTAGTAATGGATGGTGTGTTTGCAAGTTAAAATAGGAACACAAATCCCCACTTGGAGGCTGGGCAGAGGTTTATTTCACTTAGCTGAATTGCTAAGTGAATTGCTAACTCACTTAGCAATTGCCTTGTGATACAATTTCTTCTAATGTATTTTTTCACATGAACACTAGATGTTTATTGATGCTACTGATAATAACAACCTACTGAGTTTGATACAAGATTAAGATGAAGGCCAATATTTTAAAATTGCTAATATCGCTGATAAAATCACAATCTGGTGACTTGCTTCATATAAATACATTTTTTTCTTCCATTCTTCTCTTTTCCATCTCGTTTTATTTTCTCCTCCTTAAAGCTGAGTGTCACCAACGTGTGGCTGGTGAATCTGGCGATAGCAGACCTGATCTTCTGCTTCACACGAGTCTCCTCCCTCATTCAGATGCTCTTCTTCGACCACTGGCCTTTTGGCCTCTTTCTCTGCAAGTTCAACGGCTTCTTCAAATACACCAACATGTTCTGTTCTGTCTTCCTGCTGGCTGTGATCAGTCTGGATCGAGTGCTCTGCATCTGGCAGCCCGTCCTCACAAA